CCTTCTAGGTCCATCCATGCTGTCTTAAATGGTAAGATTTTCCTCTTTTTATGGCCAAGTAATATTCCACTGCATCTAGGTGCCACTACATTTTTTCTTTTAAGTATTTTATTTTTATGCTATTAACAGTTGTCCCAATTTTCCCCTTTACTCCCTTCACCAGCCACCCCCATTCCCACCATCAATCCCCGCACCATTGTCCACGTCCATGGGTCATGTATATATGTTCTTTGACTAATCCCTTCACCTTCCTTCATCCAGTCCCTGCTTTGCCCATCCCCTCTTACAGCTGTCAGTCTGTTCCATATTTTTATGCCTTTGATTTTATTTTGATCATTAGTTTATTTGGTTCATTATATTACACTTACAAGTGATATCACACGGTATTTCTCTTTCACTGACTAGTTTATTTCACTTAGCATACTACTGTCCAGTTCCATCCATGCTATTGTAAAAGGTAAGAATTCCCTCTTTTTTTACTGCCACATAGTATTCCACTGGGTAAATGTACCACAGTTTTTTAATCCACTCATCTACTGATGGGCACTTAGACTGTTTCCAGCACTTGGCTATTGTATATTACATTGCTATGAATATAGGGGTCCATAAATTCTTTCTGATTGGTGTTTCAAATTGCTTAAGGCATATTCCAAGAAGTGGAATTACTGGGTGAAAAGGCAGTTTCATTTTTAACTTTTTGAGGCAACTCCACACTGTTTTCCCCAGTGGCTGCACCAGTCTGCATTTCCACCAACAATGTACTAGGGTTCCCTTTTCTCCACAGCCTCGCCAGCACTTGTTTGTTTTGGCATGTGTAAGGTGACAACACATTGTGGTTTTAATTTGCATCTCTCTGATGGTTAGTGATGTTGAGCATTTTTTCACATGCCTATGGGCCACCTGTATGTCCTCCTTGGAGAAGTATCTGTTCAGGTCCGTTGCCCATTTTTTAATTGGATTGTTTGTCTTCCTGGTGTTGAGTCACATGAGTTCTTCATATATTTTGAAGATTAAACCCTTGTCCAGTGTATTGTTGGCAAATACATTCTCCCATACAGTGGGATCCCTTTTCATTTCGATGGTGGTTTCTTTAGCTGTGCAGAACCTTTTTAATTTGATATAGTCCCATTTGTTTATTTTTTTCTTTTGTATCCCTTACCTTAGGAGATATATCGGCAAAATATTGCTACACATGATAACTGAAATTTTACTGCCTATGCTTTCCTCTAGGATTTTTGTGGTATTGCAATTTATAATTAAGTTTTTTACCCATTTGAGTTTATTCTGCTCTATGGTGTAAGTTTGTAATCTAGTTTTATTTTTTTGCAAGTACTAGTCCTGTTCTCCCAACATTATTTTATGAAAAGAGCATCTTTACTACATTGTATGCTCTTGCTTCCTTTGTTAAATATTAATTGACCATAAAGGCATGGGCATATTTCTGGGCTCTCTACTCTGTTCCATTGATCTAAGTGTGTATTCTCATTCTAGTACCTGAATGTTTTGATTACAGTGGCCACATATTATAGTTTGATATCAGGTACCGTGATCCCTCTTTGTTTCTTCTTTCTCAAGATTGCTGAGGCTATTTGGGGTCTTCTTTGGTTCTATATAAATTTTGGGAATATTTATTCTAGATCTGTGAAACATGCTATTGGTATTTTAATAGGAATTGTGTTGAGTCTATAGATTGATTTAGGTAGAATGTACATTTTAATTATGTTAATTCTTCCAATTTTGAACACAGTATATGCTTCCACTTATTTGTATTTTCCTCAGTTTCTTTCTTCAATGTTCTATAGTTTTCTGAGTACAGATCTTCTACCTCCTTAGTTAAATTTATTCCTAGGTACCTTACTTTGTTGTTGTTGTTGCAATAGTAAACAGGATTGTTATCTTAGCTTCCCTTTCTGATAGTTCAGTATTGGTATATAAAAATACCATCGATTTTTTCTGAGTATTGATTTTGTATCATGCCACTTTGCCAAATTTATTTATTAACTCTAATAGTTTTTTGGTGGAGCCTATAGGGTTTTCTATGTGCAATATCATGTTGTCTGTGAATAATGACAGTTTTACTTCCTCCTTTCCAATTTGGATGTCTTTTATTTCTTCTTCTTGTCTGATCACTGTGGCTAAGACTTGCAGTACTATGTTGAATAAGTGTAGGAGAGAAAGCATCTCTGTCTTATTCTTGATCTTAAGGGAAACACTTTTAGTTTTTTGCCCATTGAGTATGGTGTTGGCAGTAGGTTTTTTGTACATGCCCCTTATCATGTTGAGATATGATCCATCTATTCACACTTTGCTAAGAGTTTTTATCATAAACTCGTGCTGGATTTCATCAGATGCTTTTTCTGCATCTATTGATATGATCATATGATTTTTAAAAATTTTTTTTAAATTTTTTTGAAGATTGTATTTATTTGTTTATTTTCAGAGAAGGGGAGGGAGGGAGAAAGAGAGGGAGAAAAACATCAATGTGTGGTTGTCTCTTGTGCACCCCCAATAAGGACCTGGCCCGCAACACAGGCATGGGCCCTGACTGGAAATCAAACCAATGATCCTTTGGTCCGCAGTCCGGCACTCCATCCACTGAGCCACACGAACCAGGGCTGATATGATCATGTGATTTTTATCTTTCATTTTATTTATGTGATGTATCACTTTTATTGATTTGTGAATATTGTACCAGTTTTGTATCCCTGGGATAAATCCCACTTGATCATGGTGTATGACCTTTTTAATATATTGCTGGATTCAGTTTGCTAATATTTTGTTGAGGGTTTTAGCATCTATGTTCATCAAGGATATTGAATTATAGTTTTCTTTCTTTTTTGTGTATTTACTTGCTTTTGGAATTAGGATAATACTGACCTCATAAAAGAGCTTGGAAGTCTTCCCTCTTCTTGCATGTTTGGAAGAGTTTGAGGAGAGGAGAGGTGTTAGTTCTCCCTTAAATGATTGGTAAAATTCACCTGTGAAGTCATCTGGTCCAGAACTTTTATTTGCTGGGAGTTTTTTTTAATTACTGCTTCAATTTCATTAGTTGTTAAAAGTCTATTAGGTCTATTCAAGTTTTCTGCTTCTTCCTGATTCAGTTTTGGAAGACTGTATGTTTCTAGAAATTTATCCATTCTGCTCAGGTTGTCCACTTTCTTAGCATAAAATTTTCATAGTATTTTCCTACAATCCTTTGTATTTCTCTGGTATCAGATGTTACTACTCTTTCGTTTCTGATTTTATTAATTTAGGTCTTCTCTCTTTTTTCTTTATCAGTCTGGCTAAAGGTTCATCAATTTCTTTTACCTTTTCAAAGAACCAGCTCCTAGGTTCATTGATCTTTTGAATTGTTTATTTTCTTAGTCTCTATTTATTTTGGCATTGATCCTGATTATTTCCTTCCTTCTACTCACACTGGGCTTTGTTCTTTTTGTAGTTCTTTTAGGTATAAAGTTAAATTGTTTATTTGAGATTTTTCTATCTTCTTTTTAAAAATTTTATTTATTTATTTTTAGACAGAGGGGAAGGTAAGGAGAAAGAGAGAGAAACACCAATGTGTGGTTGCCTCTTGTGATCTCCGTACTGGGGACCTGGCCTGCAACCCAGGCATGTGCCCTGACTGGGAATCAAACCAGTGACACTTTGGTTCACAGGCCGGTGCTCAATGTACTGAGCCACACCAACCAGGGCATAGATTTTTCAATCTTCTTTAGGTAGACCTATAATACTATGAACTATCCTCGTAGGACTGCTTCTATTGTGTGTTCATTTTCATTTGTTTCCAGGTACTTTTTGATTTCTTCCTTGATCTCATTAATGACCCATTCATTATTAAATGACATGCTATTCAGTCTCTATGCATTTGAATGTTTTTGAGTTTTTTTACTGAGGTTGATTTTTAGTTTCATACCATTGTGATTGAGAAAATGCTTGATATGATTTCAATTTTCTTGACTTTCTTAAGACTTATTTTGTGTCCTACCATGTGGTCTATCTTTGAAAATATTCCATGTGCACAGGGGAAGAATGTATTCTGCTCCTTTGGGATGAAATGATCTGTAAATATCGATTAAATATATGAGCTCTAATGTGTCATTTAAGGTCACTGTTTCCCTGTTGTTGTCTTTTGTCTGAAAAATCTATCCATTGGTGACAGTGGGGTGTTAAAATCCCCTACAATGACTGTATTGCTGTTGATATCTTCCTAAAAATCCACCAAGATTTTCTTTACAAATTTAGGTGCTCTGATATTGAGAGAATATGTTTACATGCCATTACATTTTTTTATCTTTTGGTCTATTGATAAGCACTTGGGTTAAAGCAATAAATTTCTTGGCCTCAGAAACCCAAAAATATCCTCTACTTGGGAGACTCCCAATGCCCTCATTTCTGCATTGAAACCCCCTACATCTAAGCCAGGTTGATGACTCGTCCTATAAGCTCAGAGATTCCAGCTCTGATTACGCTAATAATTTCCAGATTACCTAGAATTAGCCTCCAAATCCACTCATATTAGCAGAACTATTTTCTTTTCAACAGAGAAAAAGCCCACATCCCTCTGCCTCAATATACAAATCCTCTGATCTCTGAGATTACCTCCCTTGGCCTTTTTGATGCAAAACACCCCCTCAGTAACACAGCACCCTCAACTTCACTGCTTCTCCAACCAGGGCCTTTCTATCTTTCCTTCAGGATAAGCCAAAGTCCAGGCAAACTACTAACAACAGTAGCCAAACTCCTTCAGAGACTCAAGGCTCCTTTGGTCATGCCCACAGAAAACCTGTCACCCTATCCATCCTCCTCCCAGAGACCTACGGCCCCTGTCCTAACCTGGATTCCCTCATGTCCTTTCCCACTGACAGATGGGCCAAGGGTGGAGAGAAGCAAAACCTTGTTCCTGCTCACAGTCTGAGTATGGCTTTCCCTCAGGGCTTTCTCTCCCACAGGACATTTGGCCTTGTGACTGGAGAGACTCAGGCTGTGTCCCTTCAAGGTCTAACCATCCCAGAGCCATGAACACAGGCAGCTCCTTTGCAAAGGAAGCCATGGAGGCTAAAGGCAAATCAGAAGAGAAATGCAAGGTGAGGTGATCCAGAGGGGGAAGAGTGGTGGCCTGGGGTCACGGTAGGGTGACTAGATTTCTGAGGACGTGAGGCCAGAGGCAGTGAGGACAGGGAACGGGGTGTCACGGTGGAGATCCAGGGCCTCGGGAGATTCCCACCCTCACTCAGAACTTGTCCAGCATCCCTGGAGACGACTAGGTCTGTGACCTTGCACTGCATTCGGTGACTGTCAGTCCATCCTGCGCGGTGAGAACAGAGCCCACCACCCGCATGACGCACCTACAGCATGCCAGGGGAGAGGCTAAGGGCTGCTACCCTTCTCTCAGCTAGCGGTGACGTCAACCGGGAGGAATGATTCGCTCCAGGTTACAGGTCCAACGCACAGGTCCTGCAGTGGAGGAAGAGGCCAAGCTAAATGTCAGATATTTTTACCTGAGACACTGCCAAGATTTATTTCTCTTTCTTCCCTAGGCCTTCATGGACATTTGCAAATACTTCTCCGAGGAAGAGTGGGCAAAGCTGGGAAACTCAGAGAAAATCACCCATGTGTACATGAAGAGAAACTACGACACCATGACTCATCTAGGTAACAGGAAGTTCTGGGTCCAGATAGGCCTGGGAACACAAGACCATCCCTCTTTCCCTCTACATGCCATGGCCTTGTCTTAGGCTGCAGCCAGTGACCCCCTCTTTCCTTTGGTGTGGGGAGAAATCCCAGGGCAGCTCCAGCACCTTCTGCTCTATTGTATCTTGAACAGAGCGCAGGGCCGGGAGTGGCCACAGAGATGCTCAGGCCTGGGTCCCCCACGGTTCACTCCCACTGGCCCTCGTTCGACCCCCCCCCACCTGATGACCTTACTGCCCCTGCTGCACCCCCCAGCATCCATGCTCCTCTCAGGCTGTCTCTTAAGGAACAAATGCTTTGCTTCTCCTAGGTCTCAGGGCCAACCTCCCAGATTTCATGCGCCCTAAGAAACAGACCACAAAGTCTCCTGAGCATGATCCCGATGAAGGTCAGAACCACGGGAATCAGGGTGAGTGACAGGAAGGGCCTGGAAAGTATCTCCTAAAGCCTGACTCTTTTTGGGTTCAGCTGCTCAGGAAAGATTCTCGGGGGGTTCTTTCCCGAGAGGATCACTGCTGAGTGAGGAAAGTAAGATGCAGGAGGTTATGTACAATCAGAGGCCATTCATATAAAGTCCTAAAACATGCAAAATAGCAGCAATGTTTCTATACATAATAAATTAATGGTAAATGTATAAAAACCTGAATGAGAATAAAACTCATCAAATTCAGGAGTCGAGAAGGGCAGAAGGAGGGACGGCAGGGACCGGTGAGGGCTTGCACGGATGACGTCAGCTGTGACTTGTTCAGAGTGTCGTGATCTATTTTGAGTAAAGGAGCTCAGAACAACCTGAAGCAGTTGTGCAATAATGTTAAGATGTGACTGGACCCAGCAGCAGATGTGCACATGTTTCTGATCTTATCCTCCATATTTTTCTGGAATTTGAAATATTTCTTTATTTAAAGGAGTTACTGTTCCTGCTGTAATTTTCATGAACCACATGAAAATTAAGAAAAACTTGATTAAAGTGTAAATCCCCAAGAACATCCAGAGTCAGTTTTAGAATACCAAATAGGTAGCTTTAGATAATCATCACAAGAGACAAACTGATTAAAGTATTTTGTAGTGACACTCACCTATTTTCCTGAACTTTACCAAATGGAGCGGTCTTCTCACTCCTAACTGAATCCGATTCTGTATATTGACTTTGGGAGAGGGTTCGAGAGAGCAACGCCACACACACACACATACCACACTGAGCTTTCCTACTCGTCAGTGAGCAGAGGCCACACGGGGTGAAAGAAGCCACAGATTCACAAAAACTCTGTGCATGGGAACAGTGTGTTTACTCACTATAAAGGGGACGAATGTGTCCACTTGCTCTTCTGCTCCGACAGCACAGTCGCAAGAAGACAGGGACAGAATGCTCAAACTGTCTCCAATAGACCTATGACCCCCAGTTCAACAGGCCATATTCCACAAGCTCCCAAAATCAATGTCAGGGGGCTGAAAATCCAGTGCAAAGTTTTTGACATTTGATGAGTGTTTTTATACTGGAAACTTCCCAGAACCAATGGAATAAATTATTCCTCCTTCATCACACACCTAACAGCTTCATTGGGGGTATAATGGGCGTACTCTAAAATTGGACCATTTTAAGTCTACAGTTATTTCTAGTTGCCACACATCCCTAAGTGGATATAGTTCAAATTCCCAACCAATTCATTTGATTCTTTGAGGAAAAAAATGAGAAATACATCATGGAATGGGATGAGGCAGTGATGAGGTTTAGTTCACATCGCAAACCATCATGAAGAGAGTTAAGAATTTGTGCCACCAATAAAGCAGAAACTGTTATTAGAGACAATTCAGAAGCCAAGCTCAAAATAACCCCCAACAGTGAGTGGATTCATATGATCTGCTACAGAATTCCATGATACTTCAGGAATCTTTATGGACTTTGGGAACTTTATCCACCAAAGAACTGTGCTCAATCACCTTCATTTTGATGAACATCCTCAGGAGGCCTCCAAAGTCCAACCAAGAAAACACCTGAAGGTATCTTTCAAATCTAAAGGACCACAGAGCCTTTCTCCCTGCATGTACGTGAATATGGTAAGAGTGGGAGAATATCGTAATAGCTCATACTTCTTTTATCTTCACAGTGATGCCAGACATTATTTTAAGCAATTCAGATGGATTAATTTATGTAATCCATAGGAAGACTTTCATGACAAGTGTTACTATTATTATACCCAAGTTATTTAATGAATATTAACAGAAATAATAGCACATAATAATTAAAATAATGAAGATGAGGTGTTGGAGAGATGCTAAATAATTTCCCTGAAACCACAGGGGCAGTGACAGTAGTCTAATCCAAAGCCCCAACCCATTTCTAAGCTCATAAACATTTCTTATGTTTATGAAGTTCAGGTTGTCTCCACGGGGGGTTACCTCCCCCCCAGTGTGCTGCTGATACTTCCATTCAAACACAAACTCTCACAACAGGAAGTGCCAGTCCCCTCTGCCCTATCACAGGGGCACTCTCCATGGCTGAGGAACTGCTTAGCCTGTGAGCCCCTCACTACTACTGTGAGCTCCTTCGGGCCTTGTCCGTGCCTCCCGCATCTGTGAAGCCTCAGTCCCAGCCCAGGGAGCCTCAGAGGTGCCTGAACGTTTGTGGAATAAGTGATCCCGCAATTGCAGATTAAAACTAGTTGAGCGGGTAGAGGGATCTGAGAGTTGGGTTGCCAGTGTGGAGGCAGTTGAGAAGCGAATTCAAAGGACAACCATAAGAGAAAGTATTCGTTTTCATTATGTCCACGTTTAAAGAGTGTTTACAGGCCCAGAAACTACTTTTTCTTACCGTGTATTACATTTATTGTTCACTCTTCCTTAAATGAGGGTGCCCAGTGAAAGGTAATTTAAGACTTGGTCATGACACAACGCACCCTGACACACGCAGAAGTGATGTGGGAACCATCTCCCTTATTCCACAGTAAATGACCGGGCCAGAGTAGGACAGTGTGTCACACCTGGCACAGCTTTCTTGGCTGTCTGCCTGAATTTCTGTGTACCATTCCTCCCCTTTCCCCATATTCACCTCCCCCACACCATATTCCAGCTGTATTTTGTCCCCTCCGAACACTTTTACATTTACTCTTGCAGCAGGAGTCGACTTGCTCACATGCGATCGCTTATATTGGATAGAAGCTCCTCATTGCTTTCACAGACCTCGTGGATTCTTAGAATGCTATTGTCCCCCACATCTTCTGCCTACCACACTCCTGCTTACAGGGAGACTTCCTATGTTTGTGAGAGTGCTGGTCTGGAAATAGCATGAAGCCAAGCGTTCTAGTCATTTAGGTCATTCCTTTTCCTTCTAGCTGCCCTGGTTCCTCACAGTCTTGGTAATGGTCATATAATCTCCCCAAAAAGTGGAGAATGTTCATTAAGGCACTGCATGTGAAAACACTTTGTAAGTTTTAAAGCACCAGAGAAATGACTGACACTGTTTACATGTATCCTTCACATAAAATGGATAGCGCCCATGAAAGAAACAAGGGAAGGAAATGACTTGAAGCCACTGCCAGTAACACAAGACTCAGAGCCAGCTCAGACACAGCTTTACCACCTGGGAAAAGTGAGTGCCTCTGGTCAGCCCAGGAAGAAGATGCCGGGTAAGAGGGAAATTTGGAGGAACAACTTCTCTGACTGCGCTGTTGTCAGGGCTCGATCCTGAACAGGCCTGGGTCCAAGTTGGACTCTGGAGCTTGTTCAGATGCAGCCGAGAGCTGAGAACAGGACTTCCAAAGACACGGATTGAGTTTTCATCAGCATAAAATCAAGTGTTGCTGTGGGCTGGTCATCCATATTCTCTCACCTCCAGATTCATATTCAATAAAATGGAAATTAGGAATCGTAGTCAATTAATTATTTGAAGACATTAAATGGAAGCCATAAGACTCAAGACATGAACAGTGCACAAGTAATTCCATCTGTGATAACCTGGAAACATCTCTTACTCAGAGTTGTATCCAAAGCCCTTACTTCAATGCCTGATACAATATGCCCTAGACAATGTATGCTGAAAAGTCTAAAGGAATGTTCTGGTAACTAAAGGATTTGAGAATCTAAACCTGACAGTGGGAGGACCCAGAAGGTGAAACTTGAAATGGCATTTGTTGTGTACTTGTGTGGGTCTAACATCTCAGTCTCTCTGAGCTAGAGGATGTGGACAACAGACCAAGTGGAAGGCTCGTGGGCACTTGGAAGGGAGGAGACATCTTATCTGACAAAAGAAGGCCCAACTCTCCAACCACCCAACCTTTACTAACCAACACATCTCTACCACAGGATCAGGGAAAAAGAAGACTAATGTATGGCTCCACAGGCTGAGGGAAAGAAGGAACCCCATCGTGTATGAAGAGATCAGTGACCCCGAAGAAGATGACTATGTAAGTGACCTTTCACACTAGTCCCCACCCATGCAAAACACACTGTTCTTATGGGACTGGTATGCCATCTGTCATTCTTTCCCAAAATCATTCCTTTGCCAAGACTCTTGGAGAGCAGCATTGAGAAAAAATGAGACTTCCCATGCTTTCTATCATTGCTCTGTGCATCTAGGGGTCTTCCCCACCCCTGATGCCCTGGGCTCCCAGCCCCTGCTCAGCTCCCGAATTATAGGCCACGGCGTCCCCTAGCTTAGGAACTCATAAACCAGGTGAGAGTCTCTGTGGCATGAGCAGGAGATCCGTTTTGAGTAGCAGTGGTACGTGAGCGCGCATCATGAGGTGGGGAAGCATCGGAGTGCTTGGGGTCCTGCAGGTCAAGGGGAGGGGTTAGGTATTGATAGGCTGGGCCATGGGAGCTCACTGCCACTTATCTTCCTTCTCTCTCCTTGCCTCCAACTCAGGGATGTGACAAGTGCCCATGAAGAAAGCAGAACATGGCGGCCCTTCACGAACACAAGCAAAGCTGGAAGTCCTGGCCATCAGGTGTACAAGTGAAAGAAAGTGTTCACAATAGAGAAAAGTTAAGCATTATGTTTCTTGCTGTGTGCCAAGTATTCTGTTAGATGTTGAAGTTTCACTAGTGAGTAATATATATATACCTAGTGCTAGTTTCTGTCTGTGTATTCATGCACTTACCTCAGGAAACACGCATTGTCAGGTATCCCTGCACAGATTAGTCCCCTGCCCTCCCCAGACATGACTGCTAAGGCAATTCTGGATGTTATTTTCTGCATTTGTATACACACACACGCACACGCGGCGTGCAACGATAAGCATCTCCCCCATGCTCTTCACTAACGGAGTGTCCTGGGCGTGTCCCTTTTCGTCTGCTTTCTGTTTAGCAGCTGCTCTGTTTCGATTTTCCCAGCATCAGTCACTGCCAGTTAATAAACACAAGTTGTTCCCAGCTGTCTGCTCCTCTTGTTCTTGTGCACATCACCCCATGCACGTGTGTGACTGGTTCATTTTTACACATACTTAGAACTATGCAATTGCTGTGTCAAAGGTTTCATTCATTCAGCAAACACCTAATGGGCCCGCACTGAGCACTGTCCCTGGTTCTGAAAAGACATCAGGGAACAAGACAGAGAAATGTCCCTGGCCGCGCGAACTTGGCATGCTACTGGGGGGCATTTCCAGTTCTTACTAGATGGACTCTGTACACCACAGCCCAGAGGCGGGTTTCTGCAGTTGGTTGGACGCCTTGCCTTTACGCTCTGTCAGAGCATCACAGTCGGGGGCTGGGATAATCCATTGTGGAGTGTGGGGAAGAGACAGAGTTGCTCTGTGTTCTGCCTCAGATCTCAGGGTAGAAGATGTGGGATCAGTTTTCCAAGATGAAGAGGCTCCAGAGGGGGAGCATTCGGAGAGGGAGAGGCATGGTCCCGGAGCTAGGGGGGGCAGGGGAGGAGGCAGATGCGCAGGGCGTGTGGAAGAAGGGTTGGCATAGAGGCAAGGGAGACCCAGGGCCCAGGGTGGGCTCTAGTAGCCACCGAAGGGAGAAAGTGTCAGGACGGAGAGTGTGAAGGGTCAGCTCATTTGGGACCATGGTCCCCCAGAACTAGGAGCACTCCCTGCATGGCACAGCAGTGAGAGAGGAGCGCTACCCAGGTCAGTGAAGATGCTGTTCTACCTGTGCCTCAGCAGAAACGAATCCTCTTTTACCCTAATGTGGTTCCGCATTCCTCAAATGTAATACTCTGCTAATAGACGTTGCATACCTTATTCGCCATGCAGATACAGAAGAGGATTCCCCAAAGAGATCCTGAAAGATTTCATTTTTAATTCTCTCTGGCAAGATAGGCTTCACCAACTGGATTTCCAGCACGTGAAACAAGTGCAGCGAAGGGCAATTTGAAAACACTCTAGGTCATGGCAGAGGTAGTTTTGTTTGTTGTTTGTTTGTTTGTTTGTTTGTTTAGGTTCCTTGGGTAGATAGAGCTTCCTTCTTCATCCTCTTCCATGTGACAGACGCAATTTTTGAGATGCAGGGAGACTCTGGTTTTGCTCAAGCCCCAAAGTCAGCCTGCACATATCCCAAATACATCCCCGTTATCCACCGCCCCCCACCAAGCTGGGACCCTGTGTGGATGCCTGTGCTCTTCTGGTAAGGGTCCAAAATGATTCTTTACACCTTCCTGTCTCTGTTTTGTTTCTGTTTCCATAACTTTTGAAGTGGTTCTGTAGCTGATTCTTGTTCCTGTCAGAGAATTGGGAAATTCGGGATGTGTGGGGCAGAAAAACCAAACAGTACATGCATCACAAGACCAGACTTCTGAGCTTTTTCACCAACACCTGCAATAAAGAACACATTTTTTAAGGGACTAAAAAAAAATGCTTCTTGCCTTGGCTGTAGTGGCTCAGTGGACTGAGCGGTGGCCTGCAAACCAAAGGGTCACTGGTTTGATTCCCAGTCAGAGTACATACCTGGGTGCGGGCTGGTCCCTAGTTGGGGTGTGTGAGGGGGTTAGGCAACTAATCGATGTATCTCTCCCTCTGTTTCACTCTCCCTTCTTCTCCCTCTATAAATATTTAAAATCTTTTTTAAAAGCTTTAAAAAACACTTCACAAAACAATACTGACCCTTTATATATGTGATATACTCCTATAATTTCTATTTTGTTCTGTGGTGTGCTATGTTATTTCATTCTAATCTATTGAAGACATGAAATTCTGTTGCAGGTTCACTCAACATTCTCTTGAACTCTTCATAGGTCACAGCCTGCAATTTCGAAGGCCCTTCTTCAGGGTCCCATGTGCATCCACCAGAAGACTCCTTAATCTGAGTCTAGCAGGGAAGTTTCAAGGAAGCTTCATGTTGACCCTCTGGGCCGGAGTTTCCTGGGAGATGATAACCTGGAGTCCAGTTGTCTGTGACAAGAGTATGGTCCAGGCTGGACAACTTGGTGCAGGCATGCTACAGCATACTATTTGTCCTGCTGGAAAGATCTCCAGGCAGGCGAGCCTGGAACGAGCTACAGTAGTCTTGAAGGTTGGCCAGAGCGCCTGGATACAACTCTGGATGGTGCTAGCCATGTGGAGGAGAAAATTAAATGATAGAGTTCACAGAAACCTCTAATCCCCAATAATTTACTTAGATCCTAGAAAGCTCTCATGATACCCAAACTTCTCTTTGCAGAATGTCTTTTTCTGGTCCTTGTTGCATAGAGATGCCCACTCACCCTCAGTTGTCTCTCAGGATAAAATACTCTAAATGTGGGTGTATATTCAGTGCATTTGTGGGAGAACAGGAGGTCAGCATCCTCCTACACGTCATCTCAGAAACCCAGCTTCCCCACAAGATTTTTCAGAATGTTATATCATCAGGCACATTGCCAGATTGGATTGAAAGATACAGAGGTAGGACAAAATACAAGAAGGCTGCCAGACTCCCACAATTCTACAGGCATGAAACAGGCTTAAAAAAACTACTCAATTGCAAACATGTACCACCCTTTAAGAGACAGGAAAAGTGACTCTGGTGGCAGAAGTATAGTCCCACAGGGTAGAGCCTCAAGTCACAAAGGACTGTTCCCAGGCCTTGAAACCTAATGGAATTTGCCCCGCTAGATTCCAATAATGCTTGTGACCAGTGACCCCTTCCTTTCTTTCTTTCTTTCATTTTCTCCTTTTGAAATGGGGCTGCCTATACCTATTCATCTAAGCCTCTCCCACCATTGTATTTTGGGAACAGATGACTTATTTTCTAGTGTCCAAGTCCCAAAGCAGAATTTTAGCCAGGAGGGAGCATACCCTGAGATCTCTCATTTAGATGATGAGAGAGGGTACTATTGAGCTAATGATACACAGACGAGATTTTGGGATTGAGTTGATAGTGCAATGGACTCAGAAATTTGGAAATTTGGGGATGAAGTGCTTGTACTTTACACATGGTTTGGATGTTAATCTTTGGGGACCAAAAAGCAGAATGTGCTAAATGAATAATGGTTTCCCCAAATTTAGCCACATCTTAGTTTTTTGAATCTTTGAGTGTTATTTTACACAACAGGAAACAGAGTTTGCAGATGAGATTAAGTTAAAGATCACAAATTTGAGAGATTACCCTGAATTTTCTAGGTGAGCCCTGAATATACTAAAAGTACTTAACTCCGAGAGGCAGAGGGACATTTGACACAGACAGGAGAGAAAAAGGCAATGAGACCATGGAAGCAGATATTGGATTGATGCAATGATAAGCCAAGGAATGCTGGGTGCTTCCAGAAACTGGAAGAGACAAAGAGCAGATTCTCTCCTAGGACCTCTGGAAAGAGAGCAGTCTTGATGACACATTGATTTCAGCCCAGGGAAATTAATTTGACACTTCTGGCCTTCAGAACTATGAAAGAATAAATTTCTGTTGTTTAATGCCACAGTGTTTTTGTTAATTAGTTACAGAAGCCACAGGAAATTTTGGGTGATTGTCTAAGATTATATAGATTATGTTACATGTCCTTTTTAGTTTTCAGATGCATTCATTCATTGATTCAACCTATGAACAAATATCTGAGGCAATGAAGAATAGTAATTAAAAGCACAGATTTTGGACTTAATTCAACTTGGGAGTGAATTGAAGCTCTGTTCCTGCTGATTTTGTGACCTTGATCAGGTTGCTTAACTCTGAGCCTCAGTCTCAGCATCTGCACAATGGAGGTGGTAACAGTACTTAAATCAAGGGGAGGTTGTGAAAATGAAATGATATGCACAAAAAGGAAGTTGTGCTGGGCACAAGGGTCAGCTAAGAGAGCTCCCTGTCATTCTGAGATAAGCAATGTAGAGAGATGAAGGCTGTACATGAAAAGCCCAAGAACATAGGGGACCTGTCAGTGTCACAGTGAGTGGGGGTAGGAGCAACTTCCCAGAAAAAAGTGATTTCTGAGCCCTCTGAGTAACACAGCAAGCTCTAATCACAATGATAATTCATTTTAATACTAGTGTTGTAGATATCAGTATTGAGGGGTAAAGCATATTTCTGGTTATTGAAACTTATAGAAAAAGAAAAAAGAGCACATAACAAATGCTGATTTTAAAAATACAGTTTAAAATTCTTAAGTTACCAGAAAGATTCTGGTTCTAGGAGGTCCTAGGAAAATCCCAATATCTGAGAAAGCTAGAGTCTGATTGATGAGAAGGATTTCAGATGTTGGCCTGCCTCATATATTCCGTTTTTAAAAACTAAACAACAAATACACAGCAGATGGTAGGAAGTTGTAGGCTGAATGGAAAGGGAATGTCCGAGATATGGAAACTGGATTGGGCAGTTCCACAGGACACCAAACTTGATTCTAGCTGGAACATCAGTCTCCACCCACTTTCAGATGAGGTTCCTGCCCATGGAATCTGAACTGATACACAAAGCCTGCCTCACGCCTGCCTACTTTGCTGAACTCCCATTGGCCAGATCGGGTTCGCTGTAACTGTTCTGATTGGTCGAAGGTCCTTGGGCCGTTGAACGCTGGGATTTTATCTCAACCGTGAGCTACCCTTCACCACCACTTCACCTCTGAGGTAGGTTCTCTTTCAGGGCCACTCTCGGCAGGTTAAGGTGAGGCGGCTAGAAAAGCGGGGAGCCTCTGCAGGCAGCTGAAGTGGTTTGGTCTTTGTTGTACTTCTCGACATCCTCAAAATCCTTAGGAGTAAGTCCTGACCAATATGGCTCAGTTTGTTGGGCATCGTCTTGGGAAGGGAAAAGTCGTGGTTAATTCTGGGTAAGGGCACATGCCTGAATTGCGGGGTGGTCTGGTCAGGGTGCGTGGGAAAGGTAAGGTAACTGATGGGTGTTTTTCTCTCACATTAATGTTTCTCTTTCTCCCTCCCTTCTGTCTCTAAAAATAAATCAATAGAATACTTTTTAAAAGATCCTCAGAAGTCAGAAATATCTAAAAGCCCCTTGGTACAATCCCATTCAGGGAGAGGCTCTCTAATTGTGCTTGCTGAGGCAGGCAAAATTCTCTTCAGCCTGAGAAACCGCCAAATCAGCCAGACGCGCCTAGATTTCCTCAACCAGAAGTAGTAACCTCTTCCTAAAGGGCTCCGACATTGCCTCCTCTGGGAATAAGCAACAATGGTCTTGGCCTCAGCAACCCTGAAACGCCCTCTCCCTGAGAGACTCTCTTTGCTCGCAGTTTGGAGAGCACTAGATTGCTACATTGAAACTCCTCACAGGCTCAGCCTGAGTGATGTTTTGCCTTGTTGTCTGGAAGACTTCAGCTCTCTTTACACTGATAATTTTCAGAAAACTTAGTAATAGCCTCTAAATCCACTCATATTAGTGATTCTCATTTCTTTTGAGGGAAAAAAAATGTTCCTGTGCCTAAAAACCCAAACTGTAACCTGCCTCGGGCTTACCTCCACTTTCCCTTACCTCAAAACACCAGCCTCAGTAAAACTGTACCTTAAATTCACTGCTTAACAACGAAGGTCTTTATACTTTTCTTTTAGCATAAACGAAGCTCCAGGCAAACCACTAACACCAGTAACCAAAACCTCTCAAAAATTCAAGGCTGCTTTGATCATGCCCACAGAAAACTTGTCCTTTTAATCAATATTTCTCCCAGAGACCTCTGGCCCATTTTTTCATCTGACTTCCCCCATGTCCTCCCTCAGGGACAAACAAGCAAAGGTTGGAGAAGAACAGAATCTTAATTACAGGTGACACTATGACTTTGACCTTGCCATACGGCTTTTTTTTCTTGACAGAACATTTGGCCTTGTGACTGGAGAGACTCAGGCTGTGTCCTTTCAAGATCAGACTGTTCCCAGAGCCATGAACACAGACAGCTCCTTTGCAAAGGAAGCCATGGAGGCTAAAGGCAAATCAGAAGAGAAATGCAAGGTGAGGTGATCCAGAGGGGGAAGAGTGGTGGCCTGGGGTCACGGTAGGGTGACTAGATTTCTGAGGACGTGAGGCCAGAGGCAGTGAGGACAGGGAACGGGGTGTCACGGTGGAGATCCAGGGCCTCGGGAGATTCCCACCCTCACTCAGAACTTGCCCAGCATCCCTGGAGACGACTAGGTCTGTGACCTTGCACTGCATTCGGTGACTGTCAGTCCATCCTGCGCGGTGAGAACAGAGCCCACCACCCGCATGACACACCTACAGCATGCCAGGGGAGAGGCTAAGGGCTGCTACCCTTCTCTCAGCTAGCGGTGACGTCAACCGGGAGGAATGATTCGCTCCAGGTTATAGGTCCAACGCACAGGTCCTGCAGTGGAGGAAGAGGCCAAGCTAAATGTCAGATATTTTTACCTGAGACACTGCCAAGATTTATTTCTCTTTCTTCTCTAGGCCTTCATGGACATTTGCAAATACTTATCTGAGGAAGAGTGGGCAAAGGGGGGAAACTCAGAGAAAACCACCCATGGGTACATGAAGAGAGACTACGACACCATGACTCATCTAGGTAACAGGAAGTTCTGGGTCCAGATAGGCCTGGGAACACAAGACCATCCCTCTTTCTCTTTACATAGCATGGCTTTTTCTTAGGCTCAGTAAATTTTACCCTCCTTCCTTTTGTGTGGGGAGAAATCCATGGCAGCTTTGGGACATTCTACTCAGTTGTATCCTGAACAGGGCTCAGGGCCAGGGATGCTCAGACCTGGGTAAAGGCTGTACAGATGGTGTCAGCTGTGACTTGTTCAGAGTGTTTTGATCTATTCAGAAAAAAGGAGCTCAGAGTGATCTGAAGCAGTGTGCAATAATGTTGAGATTTCATTGTAACAGTGGTAGGTGTGCACCTGTTTCCAATATTATTCTCCGTAATTTTCTGTACATTTTAATGCTTTCTTTATTTAAAGTGAGTATAATTTTTGCTCTGACTATATCTCCAGATAATTAAGAAAAAGGTAATTAAGGTATAAATCTACTAAAACTAAAAATTTCCAGTGTCAATTTCATTATAATGCATAAGTAACAGATACACATTTTAAAGGATAAAGTGTTCAAGGAATTCTATAATGATGTTTAGTTATTTCCCTTTGTTTTACCAAAACCAAATAGTCTTCTCACTTCAAAGTGATCCTGGTTCTAATTGTTGAGTTTGGGAACAGTTTGAAAGAGCAATCCCACACGCACACTGAGTTTTCCCATGTGTCAGTGAGCTTAGGCAACATAGAATGAGAAATGAATGGGACACAGTCTAGAAATATTAGCCCATGGGAGCAGTATGTTTACTCACTATACAGGGGATGAGTGTCTTCATTAGCTCTTCCACTCTGATAGTGCAGTCTTAAGAAGACTGGATCAGAATGTTCATACTGTCTCAATACACCTATGACTCCTAGGACATAGTCCACAGCTCCCAAATTACTGTCAAGAGGGCTGAAAACCCAGTGCTTAACTATGTACAAAGCTTTTTACATTCTAGGAGTGTTTTTATCCTGGAAACCCTCCAGAACCACTGGACTAAATCATCTCTGGTTCATCACACACTTAACAGCTTCACTGAAGTATAATTGACATACTACAAAATTCACCCATTTTAAGTCTACAGTGATTTCTTGTTGCGACCCATCTTTAAGTGAATACAGTTCAAATTCCCAACCAATGAATTTAATTCTTTAGGGGAAAACATGAGAAATATGTCATGGATTAGAATGAGGTAGTAATGGAGTTTAGTTCAAGTTTTATAAACCATCAGAAAGGAAGTCATGAATGTATCCTATGAATAAATGTATAAACCGTAGTAAAGATAATTCAAAACCCTGTCCCAAAATAACCCCTTGATGGTGACTGGATTCATATTGTCTGCTGCAGAATTCCCTGATACTTCAGGAGTCTCTCTGGAGTTTGGGAATTTTTACCAACAAAGTACAGTTCTGCTTAATTACCTTCTTTTAGATGAAGATTATCAAGAGGCTTCCAACAAGCAACAGGAGAAACACCAGAAGGTATCTCCCAAATGTGAAAGATCACAGAAACTTAACCCCTCCACAGATGTGAATATGGTAAGAGTGGGAGATTATTGACACAGGCCTAGCCCTTACTGCCTCCCTTTTCTGGTCTCCTTAACATAATGCCTGATGTAGCATCAATAGCTTAACAATTTTGATAGCTGATACTTCTTTTGTCCTCATAGTGATGCGAGGTACTATTTTACTAAAATAAATTATTTAATTCTTAAGAAAAGTTTTATGACTTTATTGTAAGCAAACAATGAAGATATCAAAAAAATAACTAAAACTGTTGAAACAAATATTATGATACTGTGGTGCAGAGATGCTAAATAATTTCCCTGAAACCACAGGGGCAGTGACAGTAGTCTAATCCAAAGCCCCAACCCATTTCTAAGCTCATAAACATTTCTTATGTTTATGAAGTTCAGGTTGTCTCCACGGGGGGTTACCTCCCCCCAGTGTGCTGCTGATACTTCCATTCAAACACAAACTCTCACAACAGGAAGTGCCAGTCCCCTCTGCCCTATCACAGGGGCACTCTCCATGGCTGAGGAACTGCTTAGCCTGTGAGCCCCTCACTACTACTGTGAGCTCCTTCGGGCCTTGTCCGTGCCTCCCGCATCTGTGAAGCCTCAGTCCCAGCCCAGGGAGCCTCAGAGGTGCCTGAACGTTTGTGGAATAAGTGATCCCGCAATTGCAGATTAAAACTAGTTGAGCGGGTAGAGGGATCTGAGAGTTGGGTTGCCAGTGTGGAGGCAGTTGAGAAGCGAATTCAAAGGACAACCATAAGAGAAAGTATTCGTTTTCATTATGTCCACGTTTAAAGAGTGTTTACAGGCCCAGAAACTACTTTTTCTTACCGTGTATTACATTTATTGTTCACTCTTCCTTAAATGAGGGTGCCCAGTGAAAGGTAATTTAAGACTTGGTCATGACACAACGCACCCTGACACACGCAGAAGTGATGTGGGAACCATCTCCCTTATTCCACAGTAAATGACCGGGCCAGAGTAGGACAGTGTGTCACACCTGGCACAGCTTTCTTGGCTGTCTGCCTGAATTTCTGTGTACCATTCCTCTCCTTTCCCCATATTCACCTCCCCCACACCATATTCCAGCTGTATTTTGTCCCCTCCGAACACTTTTACATTTACTCTTGCAGCAGGAGTCGACTTGCTCACATGCGATTGCTTATATTGGATAGAAGCTCCTCATTGCTTTCACAGACCTCGTGGATTCTTAGAATGCTATTGTCCCCCACATCTTCTGCCTACCACACTCCTGCTTACAGGGAGACTTCCTATGTTTGTGAGAGTGCTGGTCTGGAAATAGCATGAAGCCAAGCGTTCTAGTCATTTAGGTCATTCCTTTTCCTTCTAACTGCCCTGGTTCCTCACAATTGAGGTACTGGTCATGTTATGATCTCTGAGAGCTGTCGAGAACATCAATCATTGTAACTGCACGTGAAGGTATACTGCAAGCTCTAAAGCACTAGAGAAGATCCAATGATACTGGTTTGTGTGTGTTTGACCTTTATATTCTCAAGGTGATGGACAAGAATCTCGCAAGGGAAGAAAATGACTTGAAGCCACTACCAGTAACACCTGACTCCGAGCTGGCTCAGGAACAGTTCTGCCCCCCGGAAAAAGAGAGTGCCTGTGATGAGCAGAGCAAGAAGTCAGCAGGTACGGGGAAACCATCTGGGAACAATGCCTTTGATCCCCTCTAGTGGGGGATGAATTCTGGGTAGGCCTGGGTCCAGGTAAGACTTAGGAGCTAGATCAGCTCTAGGTCAAACCTGAGAACATGACTTCCAGAGTCACAGAATGAATGTCATCCATATAAAAGTCATGTTGTTTTGGATTACTCATCCAGATTTTCTGAGCTGCACAGCCCTAGTCAATAAAATGGAAATGAACATAGTTTGTAATATGTCTGAAGACATTAAGTGAAATCTAGAAGGTTGGCAACATAAAAATGCTCCAGTAATTCCTTCTGTGATAACCTGGGAACATAGCTCACTCAGAGTTGTATACCCCGCCCTCATCTGAAGTCTGACACACAATATGCTTGTAACAATATATGCTGAAATGAAGAAGGCCTAAATGAATGTCTGGTAAATAAAGAGGTTGGGAGTCTAAACGTGACAGTGGTAGAATCTAGGAGGTAAAACTCGAACTGACACTGGTGACTCCTGGTGTGGATCTAACATCTCAGCCTCTCTGAGCCAGAAGATGTGAACATCAAAGCATGTTGAAAGCCCATGAACACATGGGAGGGAGGTGGAATCTCCTTATCTGACAAAACTGGGCTCAACCCACCCAACCACTTTTATGAATGTTTCTCCACAACAGCATCCGGCACAGGGGACCCTAAAGTATGGGCAAATGAGCTGCAGGAAAAAGAGTACATTCTAGAGTATGAAGATATCAGCGACCCTGAGGAAGAAAACCAGCTCTGTAAGCAAACCTTCATTCCAGCCTTGCACCCCTGCAAAATGCTCTGTTCTTATAATACTAGAATCCCAAATTGTCACTGATTTCCCAAATCATTTCTTTCTCCCAGACCTTACAATGCAACATTGAGACTAAATGATGAAGTTTCCCATGCTTTCCTTACTTCCAGCTCTGTATAGTCAGGGATCTTCTCCACCCCTGATGCCCTGGGCTCCCAGCCCCTGCTCAGCTCCCGAACTATAGGCCACGGCGTCCCCTAGCTTAGGAACTCATAAACCAGGTGAGAGTCTCTGTGGCATGAGCAGGAGATCCGTTTTGAGTAGCAGTGGTACGTGAGCGCGCATCATGAGGTGGGGAAGCATCGGAGTGCTTGGGGTCCTGCAGGTCAAGGGGAGGGGTTAGGTATTGATAGGCTGGGCCATGGGAGCTCACTGCCACTTATCTTCCTTCTCTCTCCTTGCCTCCAACTCAGGGATGTGACAAGTGCCCATGAAGAAAGCAGAACATGGCGGCCCTTCACGAACACAAGCAAAGCTGGAAGTCCTGGCCATCAGGTGTACAAGTGAAAGAAAGTGTTCACAATAGAGAAAAGTTAAGCATTATGTTTCTTGCTGTGTGCCAAGTATTCTGTTAGATGTTGAAGTTTCACTAGTGAGTAATATATATATACCTAGTGCTAGTTTCTGTCTGTGTATTCATGCACTTACCTCAGGAAACACGCATTGTCAGGTATCCCTGCACAGATTAGTCCCCTGCCCTCCCCAGACATGACTGCTAAGGCAATTCTGGATGTTATTTTCTGCATTTGTATACACACACACGCACACGCGGCGTGCAACGATAAGCATCTCCCCCCATGCTCTTCACTAACGGAGTGTCCTGGGCGTGTCCCTTTTCGTCTGCTTTCTGTTTAGCAGCTGCTCTGTTTCGATTTTCCCAGCATCAGTCACTGCCAGTTAATAAACACAAGTTGTTCCCAGCTGTCTGCTCCTCTTGTTCTTGTGCACATCACCCCATGCACGTGTGTGACTGGTTCATTTTTACACATACTTAGAACTATGCAATTGCTGTGTCAAAGGTTTCATTCATTCAGCAAACACCTAATGGGCCCGCACTGAGCACTGTCCCTGGTTCTGAAAAGACATCAGGGAACAAGACAGAGAAATGTCCCTGGCCGCGCGAACTTGGCATGCTACTGGGGGGCATTTCCAGTTCTTACTAGATGGACTCTGTACACCACAGCCCAGAGGCGGGTTTCTGCAGTTGGTTGGACGCCTTGCCTTTACGCTCTGTCAGAGCATCACAGTCGGGGGCTGGGATAATCCATTGTGGAGTGTGGGGAAGAGACAGAGTTGCTCTGTGTTCTGCCTCAGATCTCAGGGTAGAAGATGTGGGATCAGTTTTCCAAGATGAAGAGGCTCCAGAGGGGGAGCATTCGGAGAGGGAGAGGCATGGTCCCGGAGCTAGGGGGGCAGGGGAGGAGGCAGATGCGCAGGGCGTGTGGAAGAAGGGTTGGCATAGAGGCAAGGGAGACCCAGGGCCCAGGGTGGGCTCTAGTAGCCACCGAAGGGAGAAAGTGTCAGGACGGAGAGTGTGAAGGGTCAGCTCATTTGGGACCATGGTCCCCCAGAACTAGGAGCACTCCCTGCATGGCACAGCAGTGAGAGAGGAGCGCTACCCAGGTCAGTGAAGATGCTGTTCTACCTGTGCCTCAGCAGAAACGAATCCTCTTTTACCCTAATGTGGTTCCGCATTCCTCAAATGTAATACTCTGCTAATAGACGTTGCATACCTTATTCGCCATGCAGATACAGAAGAGGATTCCCCAAAGAGATCCTGAAAGATTTCATTTTTAATTCTCTCTGGCAAGATAGGCTTCACCAACTGGATTTCCAGCACGTGAAACAAGTGCAGCGAAGGGCAATTTGAAAACACTCTAGGTCATGGCAGAGGTAGTTTTGTTTGTTGTTTGTTTGTTTGTTTGTTTGTTTAGGTTCCTTGGGTAGATAGAGCTTCCTTCTTCATCCTCTTCCATGTGACAGACGCAATTTTTGAGATGCAGGGAGACTCTGGTTTTGCTCAAGCCCCAAAGTCAGCCTGCACATATCCCAAATACATCCCCCGTTATCCACCGCCCCCCACCAAGCTGGGACCCTGTGTGGATGCCTGTGCTCTTCTGGTAAGGGTCCAAAATGATTCTTTACACCTTCCTGTCTCTGTTTTGTTTCTGTTTCCATAACTTTTGAAGTGGTTCTGTAGCTGATTCTTGTTCCTGTCAGAGAACTGGGAAATTTGGGATGTGTGTGTGTGGCGGGTGGCGGCGGCAGGGGGGCAGTACATGCACCTCAAGAGGAGAGTTCTGAGCTTTTTCACCAACACCTACAATAAAGAACACATTTTGCAGTGATTCTAAAATATTTCATGAAACCATGCTGGCCCTTTGTACATATGATACACTTTTGTATTTTCTATTCTATTCTGTAATGTGCTATGTTATTCCATTCTAATTTATTTAAAACGTGCAGTTATGCTCATATTCCATACAACATTCCATTAACCTCTTCGTGAGTCACAACCTGCAACTTGGAAAGCCCTTCTTCATGGTCCCAGTGTGCCCATCAGGTGACTCCCTGCTCTGAGTCCTGTAGAGAAGGTTCAAGGAAGCCTCATGATTTCTCTCTGCGCCAGAGTTTCCTGGGAAATGGTTAGCTGGAGACATCTTGCTACCCCGGCCCCAGGCCTGACCACGGGTTGGGTGTATGGGGAGGCATCCCAGGTGTCTGGGAAAAACAATCCTATGTTTCTTCTTTACTCTAACACTACTACTCCACTCAGAACACTTCTGACAGCAGATATTTGGGTTTTTTCTCACACCAAGCTGTTCTCTACAACACCAACTGGGTGATTCATAATTCAGTTAAATCCTGACACAAGAAAGAGTTAGCTCAGAGCCCACTGGTTAGGGGCCCAGTCCCACAAGACTGCTCCCATCCCAAATGCCAATTGCAAGTCCTAGGTTGTCACCTGTACTTATGACCAACTGGCTGTTAATCCAAGTTTCCCATGACCACTCCTAAAGTCTGGTCATTTCCTAGAGTACCTCACAGAATTCAGGAAAAAAACTTATGTTTACTGGGTCATTATATAATAAAAACTGTGATAAAGGGTCGAGATGAACAGCCAGATGAAGAAATACGTAGGATGAAGTCTGGAAAGGTCCTGAGCACAGGAGATTCTGTCCCATAGAGTTGTGTCATTGTCCCAGTACATGGATGTGTTCACCAACCTGGGAGCTCCCCAAACACTATATTATTAAGATTTCATCGAGGCTTCATCATGTAGGCATGATCCATCATTAACTCCATTTCCAGCCCCTGTCCATTCTCCAAAGAATGGAGGGCGAAGCTAAAAGTTCTAAGCGTGTAATCATGGTTTGATCTTTCTGGTTACCAGGCTCCATCCAGGAGCCATTCATGAGCCACCCAGAGTTGCCTCATTAGAACAAAAGATGCTCCTAGTGTTCTTTCCATTTAGGAAATTACAAGGGTTTTAGGTGCTCTGTGCCAGCAAGGGGAGAAGAAACCAACATAAGTATTTTCTATTATTTCACATCAGGCTTCGTTCTCCTGGTGAGGAGGGATATGGGCTCAGAGCCAACTGGGTTATGTTGAAATGACAAACACCGTTCATTTCTCACTCATGCTACTTGTCCATCTCAGCTGAACTATGCCTCTTCTCCACATTATCAACACCTTCATTCCAGGACACAGGGACACAGAGCAGCCAAACAGGTGGCTGGCAGAGAGAAAAAGAGAGTGGCTAAGCATGAACTGACTCATCAAATGGCCAAGTCTGACCACAAGGACAAGATTGCACAGTCCTCTGATGAGAAGAGAGAGAGCTATGTTATTTGTGAACATTCTAAAATCAGCCAAAAAGGCAATAAAAAATAAAATAAAATAAGCCACAAGGAGGTTTTGGCATCATAAAAGAGAACATGGTGTGGGGGAAATGCCAAACTCAGTGATTCTCAATGGAGGAAAGGCGTGCAGATTTTACCCCTCAGGCAACATTCAACAATGTCTGGAGACATTTTTGGTTGTCATGACTCAAGGGGAGAAGGCTACTGGCATCTAGTGGGTAGAGGTAAAGGATGCTGCTAAACATGTTACAACCCACATGTCAGCAACCCTCTCAAAAGAATTATCCAACCCAAAGTATCAGCGGTGCTGAAGTTGAAAACCCTGACTAAAGGAAGGGTACAAAATGAAGAGATTTTAAGCGTCAGACAGGAGACCTCTCAGTGAATAGAAGGATGGTACAGTTTCTAAATCAGCCCATTATCACAGGGCACTTAACAAGCCTTGACTGCTTGCAGAGCTCTATGGTAAAGGTAGATAGGGTGAGAGACTGGGTTCCTACAGTCATCTTAAGGGAGAAATATGGTGGTTCATTGGCCCTTTTGTCCCCACTGTGCAGAGGGTCACCAGCTATATGTGAAGGGTTCCTGTGTGGGAGTCTGTTTCTTGGCTTTCTTTTCTGCCCCAGTGTTACTATAGATGGTCAGTCAGAGCACTGAGGAGTCTCCCTTATTGGCCAAGATGGCAGCAGGGGGAAGTTCTTACTCTGAGCATGCCAAAAGCTAGAAATATGAGTGGATAGGGCCCAAAGCACAGAAAGCTAGAAAGATGAGTGGATAGGGCCCTGAGCACACCTAAAGCTAGAAATATGGTTGGATAGTGCCTCAAACACCCAGAAGCTAGCAAGATAATTGAATAGAGATTAGATGAGATTGGGAGCGTTTAGGGTAGTATGGCTGTAAAAGCGGGGAAGGGGCTGGGTGGAGGTGGGCGAAGAGGTGGAAAATGGGGAAATCTGTAGTAGTGTCAATAATAAAAATAAAGAAAAAATATAATCAAATAGAAAAAAAACCCTTCCCTGACTATCCATATGAATGCTACCAGACAGGCACTGGCCAGAAGCAGGTTTGCCTCAGGCTAGCCTATAGTGTGGGTTCTTGACTTTGTGTAGGAAAGATTTCACAATACGAGTCCAGGTGATTTTGAGAATATGTTTATTAAGGCTGGGTACAGTGAAACAAAGGAAAGACTTAGGGTAGAAGAAGTAATAGGAGAGAGCTTGGGCGGTATTCTGCTGGCTCCCTAGGAATGTTATAAGAATTTGAGTGAGCCAAGGTAGTATTCTGCTGTTTAGCTCACCTGGGAAGTAAGAAAAAAAAGGGAGCCTTGGAGACAAGATAAGAGGGAAAGTTCAGGTTGAGCTGCTGCTGCCCACTAGTCCCCTGACTGCAAGTCTCCTTGGGACCCTTAGAATAAAAAGTTCATGCCTGAGAAGGGGCATGAGTGCACTCCAGTGTAAGCCCACGCTGTATCTTTGAGGACTTTTTATCTTCTTTCTGCAAGTAAGGATCTTAGGGGAGTCTTTTAACTGAACATTCATTTGTTTCTTAGTTGCATTTTTAATATGCTGATGAGTCAAAATGAGCACATAAGGGATTTGGAGCTATTCTTTGGTCTGCTATACTGTTTTACTTTTATCTTGGATTGGTCCAGCTTTTAATGGGGTTTTTGTTATTTGTTTCCCTAACTTCCTTTGTCCTTGGCACAAATAACCTTAATTGGGTCTTTGTTCTTTATTTCCCAGACCAGGGAGATTTAAACTATTTATTTTTTGGTTAGGGAAAAGAAGTACAAGCCATTCACTCTCAAGTGTCCCTGGTTAGGGGAGATAAGGTCTTGTGATTCGCCAGCTGGCTGTAAGTTGCTCAAACTGTTTGGCCTTGTTTGATTCTCATGTCTCAGTTTCCTCATTCCACTTTCCCAGGAATTTTCCTAGCTTATTATCCTGCCTCATAAGAATGTTAGGCTTGAGCAGGAAAGGACATGGTCTTTGAAATGGGAGTCCACCATTCTCCCAGGTTGAGTGGCACCTGAATAAAATCTCTTTATTTTTGAACCTGTTTCACAAGTTTGGCTTTCATTGTGGCAGGGAGCCAAACTTCTGTTCTTTTAGTTATGCCAGCATGACCTTATGTCAGGGACCGCAGCTCCACAATTGACTCGTTATCCAGAAAGAAAGTCCTCCCACTGTGTCCTTCTTTATACTCTTTGCACATCCAGTACATTTTATTTTATTTTTTATTGTATTTATTGGGGTGAAATTGGTTAATAAAGTTTTATAGGTTTCAGGTGTACAATTCCATAATACATCATCTGTATGTTGTTTTGTATGTTCACCACTCTGAGTCAAGTCTCCTTCCATTCACTTTTTATCCCCCTTTACCATCTTCTACCTCCTCCCCCTTTCCCTCTGGCAACTAACCACCATGCTCTTATCTGTGTCTGTTTTTTTTTAATCCCTTCACCCTTTTAACCCAGCCCACCAACCTCCTCTCCTCTGCCAGCTGTCAGTCTGTTTTCTACCTATGAGTCTGTTTCTAAGTATATTTTGCTCATTAAACTTTACATATAAGTAAGATCATGTGGTATTTGTCTTTCTCTGACTGGCTTATTTCACTTAGCATAACGTTCTCCACGTCAATCCATGCTGTCAAAAAGGGTAAGATTTCCTTGTTTTTTATGGCTGAGTAGTATTTCATTGTGTAAATGTACCACAGCTGTTTTATCCATTCATCAGGTACATTTTAGAATTTGCTGGTCGAACTCCATGATTTTTTTAAAATCTCTGTTAGGAACCTAACTGGAATTCCACTGAGTTTGTAGATCAATTTGGGGATAATAACATCTTTACACTGTCAAACCTTCCTATCCAAGAAGCTAGGCTCTGTCTCCATTTTTTAAGCCTTTTCTTTTTTGCATT